AATTCCAGTGGAGTGTGAGAAAGATTCTCTGCGGGAAGACCGTTCGAATACAAACGTTTCAGTCAGGCTCCTCCTTAACCTTGTTTGTTCCAGTGAAAATATTTTCAGCTGTTGGATTTTCTCGACGTGCGTCGGACCCCAAAGGTGCGATAATCTGCACGTGAAGCATCACTTGGCTGCCTCTAAGACCATTTGATCTTTCTTCACACCTGGAGACCTAACCTACACGCAGTACTCACGGTTGAGCCGATAGGAGGCCGTGCATAGCAAAACTAGTTATCCGGGTTTATGGACACCAGAGACGTTAGGAATTAGTCTATTAAACACGTAAGGCTACTTCTTGCCATCTTGGTGAGTATGCAAATGGGGTATTGTACAATCTTGGATGAATTGAAGTGTCCCTACATTGATCACATCAATCAGCAATGCATATTCAGAGCTAGGCCTTTTTCCAGGAAGTTGCTGTTAACGCTTCAGGACCACTGGTTATTCCCGTCCGTATTTGCAAAGACGAGCTAACTGTCGGACCAAATGTGCACTTTAAACTTGCTTATATTTCCTGGAATTCCTTGCGTTTTGGTTATTCTCTTGCCATCAATCAGTATTTGTGATAAAGTTGTCATGCACTGAAAACTGGATACAAAGCCCTCGCCTAGTCTGTTCGTAAAAACGCGGTGATGTGGTGTTTATGTACATGCCACCTGATGGCCCGTATGATATAGATCAATTTTAGGGGCTTGTTTGGAATGAAAAATTTAAACTGTCAAAATGTTCCCTGGTGTTCCAATCTTCTTGCTCGGTTATGCGAAAAGAGACCAGGGCCACAGGGTACTGCATAAGGGTTTCATTTGTTCACTTCAGAAAAGTTTTGGATACGGTCTTGCATGGTCGATTACCCCAGAAACCCACAGCTCTTAGAGTTAAATATGTGTTACTTTCCTGTAATAATTACTTTTGCGTTAGAGATACCACTCCACAAGCGTTGTTAAGTTAGTTTTCTATTTGTGTTTTGTTCCTCATTATTGTATGTCAGGGTTCAAATTTTGATTCGCTGTTAGTTTCGATGTTGGTAAGTAACACGTGAGTTCAAGTAAGTTGCAAGCTTTTCTCGATAGTTTGAGTGCTAGTGTAGCAATGTTTGGCATGCGCTTTTCACCTTCGAAATGTAAAATACTGCTCCAAGATTGGGTTGGTTCAGTCCCCAGCCTCACTTTGATCGGGGAAGTTGTAGAGAAAGTAGACACGTTTTGCTACCTGAGCAGCTATATCCCACCTGGCGGACGCAGATAAAGTGTCTGCCCGCATACAGAAAGATCGGTTGGCATTTGACAACTTGAGACATCTGTGGTGCCGTCGCGACATCCGGTTGTCTGTGAAGTGTCGAGTATATGCTGCAGAAGTTCGGTCAGTTCTGCTTCACGGCACAGAGACTTGGCCATTACAGAAACAGGATAAAAATAGACTATCGGTGTTCGAACACCGCTGTCTACGTGGCAATGCACTAGTCTGGTGGGGAAACCGAACGAGCAATGCTGAGGTTAGGCGTAGAGTTTTAGGTAATTGCGGTCGTCCACTGGAACAGGTAGTCGACCTCCATAGATTATGCTGGTTGTGACATGTGATACGCATGTCACCAGATAGGTTGCCACAGCGAGTGATGCTTGGAGAGGCAGGTAGCGGTTGTAAAAAACTGAAGGGCGGTCAAGCTAAGACCTGGCATGAGGGTATGAAAACCCTGACCAGGAGACTGGCTCACATAGGTCCCGTTAGGCTCCCTGACTGGGGACCCCGAGATCATGATCACCGGTGGTTAGACACACAGTGATATGGCTGGGTGTCGCAAACAGTGGCGCTCATGCATTTACTCATTATTCTTGTAACTTCAGTCTATGAAAATGTGCTACCTTCCGCTTAAACCTTCGCTTAACATTCTAATCACCATTCTGCTATTTTATCCAAATGGGCAACCAAAAGACAGCAACCAAAGCTGGCGCATGGAAGTGCATGGCTAATGGTTATAAGAACTGAACTGAACTGAACTAACACGTGAGTACTCCAGGAGGACATTGTTTTCTCGGTACAACGGTCAGAAAACTTGCGGCTTCCAGTTAACCCTAGAAAATGTGCACTCATGAACCTGTGTAGCCTGGATGATGGGAATGTATACTACAATGATGGTAGGGCTCTCCGATTAACTGGCTGGGAAAACCTTGGTCCGCCAGTGATTTTGCACCTGAAGGCAAAGTTTAACAGAAACAGAGGTTGCACCTCAACAAACCACACTGGGTTCCATTCATTGTTCTTTTAACTGACTGTCACCTAGGGTCTTTAACGCCCCGCAAGTTCATTTGTGGTTGGAATACGGAGGTTCTGCTGCTTTTTTCCACACATCCCCCAAGTTATCAAACTGGAAAAAGATTGCTGTACCACCGTACGCCTCTTAAGTAGACTAGATGATTGATTTGATAGTGAAATTCCACCATGTACCGAAGTGTTCGCTGTGTCCCACAGTAAAGACTGGTGAACTCGGGGTAGTGAACCAGTGGCAATTCACCTTGGGGAGTAAGCTAAAAACCCTAATTCCAAAGCAATCAAAAATAGGCGTGCGAACCATATATATATATTTTTGTTTTTGGCAGCGGTCACCGGCTCGATTTATCATCTAGGTGTATTGGTGTGTATTTGTGCATTTCACACGTGTATGAATCCTGACTGTATGTGTGTAGTGGTCTCGTCTTCGTTCAATGCAACGTGGGATCGGAATTATTAAACATTCCCTTTTCACTCGCATAGAGACCAAGAGCTATGCGCACATGCTTGCCAAGTAAAAACGGTGAGTCTGTTGCCGTTATTTTGTCTATGAAAGACTTCAACACGTTGCCAGGTAATGTAGTGTTTTAGATTATATATATATCATCGAGCCGGTGACCACCGAAACAATCAGGAATGTGGGGTTCGTACATCTATTCCTGGCTGATTTGGAATCAGGATTTCAGCCAACTCCCCTAGGTGAAGCGCCAGTGATTCACTGAACCGGTTATAGCCCTCCCATATCGACTTTTAGTTTCCTCACTTTGGTGGGAAAATACAAGGCAGTGAGCAGGGCGTCCTCAGTAAGGCCTATATGAGACGATTGGTCTTATAAGAACATTTCGCGAGGTGCAAGGGAGGGGTGACCTACCGCATTTCGAGACACCCACCCGCGACCATACTGGGGCTTTCGGAGGCGTGATTGAGATTAGCCATAACATCTTGCGCCAATTGATTTGCATTCAAAATGTCAGGAAAATTTGTCCTTCTGAATCCCGACTATTAGCATGGATGTGAAGTTCACACGAGGCAACGTCCTTCTGTTTCTGCTCAAGAAGATAATAAAGATTGATTCAAAGATTTTAGAGTCTATTCCTTTTGCTGGAGACAGTCTCGTTTGGGCGAATATGTGACCAAGGAGTTGGGATTGGCACAGAACAACAAATAGTACCATTGAACTTAATAGAATATGCCAAATCTTTGCCTGATACTAAGGCAGTTAGAGGTCGCCTTTTTATTGTATGATAGAGAAGCTAGTACAAACAAAGACAGGTTCACAGTCAGGCTTTTTTTTACATCAAAAGCCTACGGGTTTCCGTACTCTCGTCAGCTTAAGCAGCAGACCATTTTCGAATGATCTTTCTATGCATCTAATGTACTGCTATTTTTACTATTATGTAGCATCTTCGCGGAAATAAACGACATTGACTGAATACCGCGCTGACTAAGCTATTGGCAAAGCTTCAAAAAGACTCATCGGGAGTAGCAAGGCCCTATACGGAGAACAACAGCAATAACATCATTATTCAAGAAAAGCAGAGTAATAAAAGAATAAATTATCCATATCCTCACTAACAGTTTCCAAGTTGATGTGTTATACCGTTGGGAAGCGGATTCATCAAGTGATGGGTCAGAATATTTTTTCCGCCATAAAACTACTTAATCCAAGCAGTGTGGTCAAATTTACTATCTGTATTTAAGTGGTACATTTGGCTTTGGTTATTGCCGTTCATTTCTGTACAAACTAGTCTTGAACCAACTACGAATTATTCTTCACCTTAGATGAACAAGACCGTTTGCGAGACCTTACTTCAGAACTCTAAGTGGAAGATAGTCTCTGCCGTTGCCTTATTTGTAGAGATGTGCCACTAGGATTGGTGCACAGTTCTATCCTTTATTTGGAGTATATCACAGATATGTCATGTTCTCTCAATACCTTAATGCTTATCGATGAAATAATATCGAGAGCCTTCCTTAGGATAGTGATCCTTGGTTGGCCGAACACAATATGTGTTAGCTACTGCTGAACCATGCACTGTAACCGCTTTTATTCAGGCAGCGTGAATTTCACAGTGGGAGCAGGTTAAGAAGATTAGCAAGTTCTCATCGTCAAAACAACATCTTTTGGCTTCGGCAAATATTATTGAACTCTCTATCAGATCAACAAACTACCAGCTCCATGTGACCCTNAGTCCATGTCAGACGTATTATTTTCATTAGAAACACTGATCTATCTGAGCATTCCGAAGCCGCTTACACAAATGTGTTCTTGTTGAAGGAATTTTAAACCATGCTCAAAAACATCTACTTACACCGAACAAGAATCAAATGCACTAAGACGGCACCATGTGGAGCTAGTCTAACTCAGAACGAGTACAAACAACGGATCCATTCCCTCGCTGCCCCAAAACAATGCGACTAGCTATTATGCGTGCACACAGTCCGTGCTCAGACATGAAAGCTGCAGTATAGTACCCAGAAGAAAAATGTGGACCAGTTTATTCGTTATAAACATGCCTGTATCACAATTGATTTAGCATAGTTAAAATCCAAAATATGCAAACTAGGCTCGTTTACTCATCTTACGGAAAAAATAAGTTATCCAACTGTATGGACGTTGCATATCAAATTTTCTCTTACATTTATGAAGAATGCTAAAATGCATCATACACGTGGTGACTAACAATTACATGTTTTGCTATGTCGTGTTCCGCATCATAGCACACTATAAACAAAACAGTGGAGGTTTCACAAACGTGAACGATGAAATTTTCCAACCGCTTCTTGTGTCTTGTGCTGTTCACTTGTATTGTGGTGTCAACGACAATTGCACAACCCTACGATCCGAAGAATGTGGTAAGTGCTGTATTATTCATAAAGGCTTTATTTAGTTCCGAAATTCCTAATGTTCTTTCGTATTCACGTCTTTTGATCTGGAGTATGCAGATGGCATTGTGCTGCTGAGTGAAGAAGCACGTAAGTTGCAAGCTTTCCTGGATAGCTTGAGTACCAGCGCAGCTATGTTCGGTATGCGCTTTTCACCTTCAAAGTGAGAAGTTTTGCTACAATATTGGGGTGGTCCAGCACCCAGCGTTGTTTCAAATGGGGGAGTAATACAGTAAGTGAATAAATTTTGTTATCAGTTCGCATACAGAACGCTCGGTTGGCATTTGCTAACTTGATACACCTGTGGCGCCGTCGCCACATCCGGTTGTCTGTGAAGGGTCCAGTGTATGCCGCGGCAGTTCGGCCAGTTCTGATATATGGCACAGAAACTTGATCATTAAGAAAACAAGATATAGAAAGATTGTCGATGTTTGAACACCACTGTCTACGCAGTATAGCACGAATTTGGTGGGGGAGCCGGGCGAGCAATACTGAGGTTAGGCGCAGAGTTTTGGGCAAATGCGGTTGCCCACTGGAACAAATGGTCGACCTCCACAGATTACGTCGGTTGGACTATGTGTTACGCATGCAACCAGATAGGTTGCCACGGTGATCGATGTTTGCCGCGGTAGAGAGTGGGTGGAAGAAAGCCAAGGGTGGTCAAACTAAGACCTGGCACGAAGGTATGAAACCCCTAACCAGGGGACTGGGTCACATAGGTCCTGTTAGGCTTCCTGGATGGGAACCTCGGGATGATCGTAACCGATGGTTAGAGCCAGTGAGTGATTTGGCTAAGTGTCGTAAACAGTAGCCTTCGGGGAGCTCCATTTCTTTGCCACCTTAGACCATTGGAATTCTCCATTTTCTATTCGGCTCTACTTTCAACTTTCTTGTTCTCTTCAGTTCATCCAAATGGGCAGCCAAAAGACAGCAACCAAAACCGCCGCACAAAAGGGTATGATTGTTAGTTCTACAAACTGAAACTGATTCACTTCTTCCTTATGACACAACTTGGATAGCATCTCCGTTTCACCTGAATCTGCTTTCAATGTTCGCGCAATCTGTCGGATTGGCGGAAAGGCTGTCTTATCTGGAATCCTTAAAACTTTCAGTTTAGACTTATGTTGTCTTAGAAACAAACTTACAGGAGCCCTACTAAAGTCATTCTCCTGTATCTCTCCTGGTTCATCCTAATCCTCACACTTCACTCTTCGTGTGCCAGGTGATTCAGCAGCCGAAGTTCGTTTTGTTGCTGGTGTTGGAATTGAGTTAAGCGCCAAAGCTGAACGCTTGCTTCTTGACTGGATTTCAGTCAAAAACTGACTGTACGCTGTACGTCTCAACGGTTCAGCCCGGATCAATAGATATGGATCGACGCGCCCGTGCCTAATTTACCTCTGTGTAAACACGAATCGATCGCATTGCACTTGAAATTAAAAATGCGCTATACAATTATCTGTTTTGAATGCTCCAAAGTGTCAACAGACATGGTAGCAGTCGCTGGAGGCTTCAATGCTCAAGTGGGATCCCTTGACGAATCACCAAGGTACTTAGGTGTTACGCATGCAACCTTAGAAAACCGGACGGACAACGGAGATCGCTTACTTCACTTTTGCGCAGGCCGCGCATTGTTGCTCAAAGCGCCAACATCTGTAACGAGAAAAGACACTAGCTCACTTGGAAACCGCCATTCGACTACATTGTCATCAGTACCCGCTAACGGGGATCGATCGATGACTTTCATTCTCATTCTCTGACATAGACGGTACTATGGTACAAATCGGATTCTCCTTACGGTCGTTAAAACACGCAATAAAGCCCCGGAAATGGATACCCACAATAAAATATGTGCGATAGTAGCAAATCGGCGGTCCGTCATCGCCTCAGTTCAACCAATAATTGACGGACTCGATAGACACTGCACGTTAATCTAGGAAGCCGTCCCGATTTCAATCAAAACAACGCCGGATTTCGGTGCATGGTCGAAGAGCAAATGGTGGATCTCTTGGTGGACACACGAATAGCCATTTCTTTCGGATACCAAATGCGACAAAGCACTAAATCACTTCAAAACCAACCCGTCAAGAGTCTGCGGAGTGATCGCGAGAAGTAGTGGGTTGCAAAATGTAAAAGGATGATGAAGACACCGGCTTTTGGTAAGAGTCGCACTCTTTTCCGGCACGAGGAAAGTAGGCGTTAATGCAACAAAGCAGTATCCGGTGGCACTTTGATTCATATTCAGTAACGCCGTCTTGAACGAAGAAACGAACATGTTGGGACTCAGTTCCATTGGCTCCACATGACATTAGACCAGTCAACCCCAATTCGACTAGACAAATATCACCAGTTGATATCAGTCCTCCATCTGAGATAGAGGTTTCCTGGAGAATAAGTTATCTCAAAAGGCATAAGGCCTCCGGCTCAGATCGACTGTCCTATTCAAATTTTAAGAATGGGGGTTCAGCGTCTATCTTGTAGTTGACGAAACCCCTGCTTCTGGTATGGATGAGTCAGGTTCCAACTGAATGATGTGCATCGGTCATCTTACTGATTTACAAGAAAGGCGACAGGTCATATTGAGAAAACCGCAGAGCAGTTAACTTACCCAACATTGTCTTTAAACGTCTCAGGGGCGTTATACTCCGTCAATTGTCTGCCGGACGAGAGCGGTATATGCGTGAGAACCAGGCTGGTTTTAGACCTGGTCAAGCTAGTATCGACCGCATTTTTACTCCTCGCAAAATTTTGCAACACAGACACTCCTTCCATAGACACACCATTTCTGTCTTTCTCGATCTGAAAGCGGCTCTCGGCTCGTTCCATACTCTCTCGCTCTCTGATGCTTCCCCTCCTTGAAGGCTAGCTGAGTGGATAATTGTGTTATATTTTCACGAGTCTCAGTTGAAAATGTAGGTCAAAAAAATCACGGTACAATAAGATTTTAAAATAGAAATCTTACTATTTGTTTATGGGTAGAATACTACCCGAGATTGCCCAGGCTAAAGCAGGTGAATTTTCTTGGGGAATTGATAACCGGAGCCTTTACCTATCCAAAGCCGGACTTAAAAGACAGCGGAGTGGTGTATGAAAACCGCAGCTCATTCGGGGCCAGTGTCCAGTTCATCGGATCATACGCCCTCTGGACGGAGTGAAAAGTGCAAGTTGCCCAAAACGCCTCGATACCCAATCGAGCCGGTGACCACTGATACAACCAGGAATGTGGGGTTCGTACTTCTCTTGGTTGGTTTGGAATCAGGGTTTTAGCCAACTCCCCTAGATGAAGTGCCAGTGGTTCACTGATATTGACATTTTGTCCTCTGACTTTGGTGAAAAAAAATGGCCACGAGAAGGCAGTTTTTAGGGCTTCCTCAGCAGACGCTGTGTGAGACGCTTGTTCGTATGGAAACGTTTTGCCAGATGCCAGATAGGGGTCACGAGCTGCAACTCTAGACACCTACCCCCACCATACTAAGGTTTTCTGAGGCGAGGAGTATATTTATATATTAGGATTCTTATATTCTACTGTCCGATGCCGCATCCGAGCTTGTGGTATTTTCGCATCCAAGTTCACACCGGAATCTCGTGTTCCTCGGGATTTCCCGCTCTTTCCGTTTCTATTTAACTTTGTTATGCATCAGATTCTTGAAGTAGCCCTTTCGTCTTGCGAGTAAGGCGATCTCAGTTTTCCTCCGGGTGGTAGGCTATCTGATCTAGAGTATGCAGACGAAGTGGTAATGCTAAGTGAAAAATCTAGATGAGTTGCAAGCTTTTCTGGTTGGTTTAAATGATAGTATAGCCAATTCCCAGCCTGAGTTTTGCATCTTCAACTTGTGAAGTGTTGCCACGGGACTGGCTTGGTCTAGCTCCCTACCTTACAGTAACTGGTGGAGTGACAGAGAAAGTGGACACATTTGTTATTTGGGCAGCTATATCTCATCCGACGAACGCATTACGGATGAACTGTCGGCTCGTATGCAGAAGAGTCGATTGGCGTCTAACAACTTGAGAAATCTGTGGCGCCTTCGCGACATCGGGCTGCCTGTGAAGGGCTGATTATATGCTGCAGCATTTTGGCAATGCGACGCAGAAACATGGGAATTACGAAACAAGATAAAGATAGACTGTTGTTTTTTTTAGACCAGCATACTTGGATTAGCTCACTCGATTGTTCAGAGGCACCAGGCGCTCTTGATGGTCTTGGGTGTGGTTTTCACTCCTTGGGAGATTTTTGATTCCCCACGAGATAATGCATTCAAATGCGATGGAAATGTTTTTGATAACCGACAGAGAGCACTGAACAGCTGTTTCGTCCTGTTTGGGACCGTCAGCAGTGCGTACCTTTTGTGTCCCTCTCAGAACTCAAACAACGAACTTTAGGGTTGGGACTTCAAACCCTTACTCCTGAGCTACACGGTCGACGTTGAGCACCCTGTGCTAATGGCTCAATTAATTTTTAGAGTAGCAAGCTCGGATAGACCGTTGGTATTTGAGCACGGCTGTCTACATATCATCGCACTAATCTGCTGAAGAGCAGTACAGGGAATGCTAATTTTAGGAGCAGAGTTTTAGAGGATTGTGTTCACCCACTGAAGCAAATGATCGACCACAATAGATCACGTTGTTTGGGGCATGTGTTACTCACGTCCCCAAATAGATTTTCCCGATGCGCGCTGCTTGCTGAGCCGGGTAGTGTGTGGAATCAAGTGAAAAATAGTCAAACTGGGACCCGGCATGAGAGTTTGAAAACGCCTAACCAGTACACTCAGTCATATTGGTCACGTTAGGCTTCCTAGACGAGACCCTCTGGATCATTGTAGACGATGTTTAGAGACATGGAGTGATATGGTTGAGTGTCATGGATACTGGCGCTTGTGCATCTGCTCATTGTCCTTGCATCTCCAGTTTTCATGAATTCTATTTTTTCCCCTGACTCCGATTTGAAACACGCGGTTCGCGGGAACGATGCTATATGGAAGTGGGAATCTGACAGATCAGTCTTTCTGGGACGTTCATTTCTTACACATGCAAACGCGGTAGAGAAATGCAACATATTTGGGTGAAGAATTTATTGATGTTCAAATTGTTGTTTGACAGATTGAAGTTTTTATGTCGAGATTGTGAAACGTTCAGTGGCCTCGGTGGGATTCGAACCCACGCATGGATGCCGCCTACGCTTGCGTGGGTTCGAATCCCACCAAGGCTACTGAACTTTTCACAATCTCGACCTTTATTGATGTGTCTTTCTATTTAGATAAGTTTTACTCAACTGAGATGCAGTGAGCACAATAATATCGAGAATCCACTTCAAATTGTTCTAGCACTTTCGATCTCAGACTGAATACATAATTGGTTGTAGTTGATGCAATTGTTTCACATTTGTATTAGTTCTTTGTTGAAACAGGTATTAATTGCATTTTTTCAGAATATATAGGCAAAATACTTTCAGTTTTAGTGCTGATTTGACTCAGGTCTATCGTCTATCCGGTGCGTATTGAATATTTCTAAAAACTATGATGATACACTACTGATATGAATATTGTTCCCTCGGCTTTTGGGTAATGACACCACAAGAACCCGAATAGAGACCGATAAGTTTGAGCTTCCGATATAAACAGGATGACGCGTTATTCAAAATTCGTCTACCACGACTGACTAGATGATAGAATTTAACTAGTTTTTTCCCCTTTTAGATTGGCACTGGTGTCAATTCAGTCTTATGACAATATTTTATTCTTGCAATCTATAAAATAGCAAGCACGATTATATCTTTGCTCTGCGTATAAGCTTTTGGTTTTCCTAGGAAACGAATGGGCCGAACTGTCCTCTACACGTACAGTGATGATAGTGCGTCAGGGAAAGGCGATTCACTCATTGTCGATATGTTCAACCAATCAACTGTTATTTTCAACCACACGCAGTGTTGTCTGTCCTGTGGTGTTTATTTTCAACCGCTGGTCATGGCGCAACACATGTGCCTGTCATCGACTGATTCCGATAGATAATAATATCCATATTTGAAATCCACTTTCGAAACGTCCCTTCCCCCCCTCCGCACTCCCGATTATTACTGTCATTCCAGTCTAGATTGACCGTAATCGTGAACGACAACGGACCGGGTGGAATTCAGTACAAATTTTGTGCGGAGTTGTTAACTCGAGCGGAATTTCCAATTACACAAAAGGAATCGGTGAGTAAAGATTTCTCCAGCATGAAGAAGTTTACCTAAAATGCATCTATACTTTTGCAGTATACATCGTATTTCGAAATTAATGACACATTTGGCATATTTATCAATATTTATGCCTAAAATGTTCTGTGAACAGCGAAAACCGCAGGACTTCAGCTAGAGGTTAATGGTTGAGAAAACCGATTTATCACCTAGATACATCCGACTCAGTCAAAATTCAATGTACACCCTCCCGTTGACATCAGTTTTATTGCTGTTATCAGACACCGCTCAAGTTTCGAATTCACCAGTTCCGTTTAACACTTTATCCCTTTGCTGGAGTAAAATCCGGTCATAAAAAGTGAATATATATATATATATATGTACCCCAGTCACAAAGTGACTAAATATGATATCACTTTTTGAAACGGCGTGCAGGGTGGAATAGTACAAACACTGGCCCTGGTACATAATTCACGATTACAGACTTTTCTATAAATCAATCCAGTAGTCTGGGTTTTCCTCGCCCTCTGGAATCTGGTTCCGAGTTGCGACAGTTTCCATGGATTTGCAACGAAACAATACTCCCTGAAGAATTGTTTTTATTTTTTTCTGGTACGACTAGAAATATGGCGTGTATGAGCGTGAGACGTTTTTCCCTGTTGAAGTACTTAACCAGACAAAAAGATTTAGCGGAAATTATGTCTCCTGAAGAAACGGTAACAACGGGCACCACGTTCCGTTCTACCTTTTTTCGGACCCTGGTTTAATCTGTTGGTAACCTATTTTCTTTGAGCTGTTAATTTGATCTGAGTTGTGGATGAAGTAAACCAAAAAAGAATAAAACAAAATCCGGTTTGAGATGCGTTTGAGTGAACGGAATAAGCTTAGTTGATGCTTTCTTACAGTCTACTGATCCCGTTGAAATTCGCTGATAAATGCCTTACTGTTGCAAATGTGACCGATGATTGCGGATTTGCCGGACGGCCAGGGTTTTTGCGTGAACCGATCCCCTCCCTGTTTACTTTGGGTAACATCATTTTCGCTGAGCGTTAGCAACACCGAAGTTGCCACATCAGGTGGACAGTGTGCACTGAAGGTGGGTGAGTCCTACGTGGGTTATAGGATGGACATTGGATGATTGGAGCCGACCGAAGTGTGACTCCTACTGGTTGATGGTTTAAACAGCGACCGTCTCCCGTTACTATACGGTATCATTCGATCCTTGCCCCCCCCCCTCATCCCCCGGAACACTGTTTACTCGTCTTTGTTTTGCTTTCAGTAAATATCATTAGGTATTCTCTCTTCTTGACTAAGAATCGTGAATATGATTGTTTTGTAGACGTATCATCAGAAAATCTGTATCCCTTCAGAGAGCACATCAAATAGTTAACGCCGTAAAATGAGATAGGTAGCGGTTGGAAAAAGATCAAGGGTAGTCAAAGTATAACCTGGCATGAGGATATGAAAATCATAACCAGGACAATAGGTCACATAGATCCTGTTAGTTTTCCTGAATGCGGACCCCAAGATCATGGTCATTGACGGTTAGAGACACTGAGCAATATGACTGGGTGTCGCATACAGCGGCGCTCATGCATTTACTCGTTATTGGTGTAATTTCAGTCTATATAAACTCTCTATACTTTGCTTGAGTGTGATCTCAACATTCCAATCTTCGTTCTGCTCT